TGCCAAAGAAAATCAGATTCCGTTCCAAAGTTACTGGACCCTGACATTCAGCCATGGAATCCAGATACTCACGAAGCTTACGAGAAATCTGCCGCCTCCTTGGGATACCTCCACAAGTCAGTTCAGGACAATGACCCGGTTTGGATATTTGGTCAAAAACTTATCTCATTCTCCATCTTTGCTCCAAGGGAATTCTCTTAATTTGGTTGAGGATCGGAGACCCCGAGCATTGGTTATTCTTGCTCATTACTTTGCTTTCATGTGTAGGGCGAAAGAACATTGGTGGGCACTGGGTATTCCTGAAATGAGATCAAAAGGATTCAGGGAGTCCTACCTCCGGAGTGGCAAGAGCACCTACGTTGGCCACTCATAATGACTGGTCAGACAGTCATCTAGGAAGAAGAAATATGCGGATGAATATACGTTAAGATGGCAGTATAATTCGCTGACCTGATAAACCATCTATGCCATCCTACGGGGGACTGTTTGTGGTGTTGAATCCTCTACGACACGAGCGGAATAGACAGGAAGAGGAGTGACATCAGCTGGTCTACTACTCATAGATCGATCTCTCACACGGCCCATTTCTCATTTCTCGTCATTGACCTTGGGCCGGAATAACTCCAGGGTGGGTATGACGACCGTGACGTCGAAGTGTACTGCTCGACGCAAGAACTCAGGATTAGGCCTAGGCCGACACTGAGTCCCAAGCAGGAATGATCAAGTTGATAATTCAAGATGCGCAGACGATGATTAGGATGCACAAACGGGTCTTGCCAAGCTAGGACCGGACCAAGGGAGCCTCTTGCCGTCATTCACCAAACACTCGACTCTACGCTCTGACGGCGGCTGCATGCTCGATACAGTCCAATCAACAGGTTGCTTTATCACGGTTATAGCCAGTCTGGCCGTGATTGCATCACCCACCCAGGCTTTGCCTGGCTGCTTCAGTGGCCCGGAGATCAACGGCGGCAACAACGAAGTAAGCATGATTGGAGTACAAACACAATTGTGTGTTAGTGTCTTATCACCCATTGTCCCATCGACGTCAGTGATGATAGACCTAGCAGCCTCTAAGAAGATATACCTAGACCAAATAACATAAAAAGCCTGCGGCGGGCAATGTGGAGCGAATTAATGGTAGAAACACCCATGAGGCATGAAAAGAGTTAGGGTATGCCATAGGGGCCTAAAAATATAGGATAGCAGCAGCATTTTTATTGGAGTGCCCTCATATTCCTATCCTGGATGCGCCAATGGCTTGTATACGTCACTGCCTACACCCTGACAAAGACTGGCATCGTCTCAATGGGACATGCAACCTCGACATTCTGCCCTCCAGGACGGTCAGTTTCCTCCCCCCATAGCCTCCATGAAGCTCCTGCGGGAAGATACACCGTGATCTTTCGCTGTCCGGCCTCAAGGACTGGTGCAACAAGATACTTGGACCCAAACAGATACTGCGTTTCAACCTCCCAGGCCTTCTTGTCCTCTGGGAACTCATAGAATAGAGTCCGAATGACCGGGGTGCCCTTCTCGTGCGCCTCTTTCATCAGACTCCTCGTGTAGTCCCGCAGCTCCTCACGGATATTGATGTACTTCTTGCAGATCTCATACACCTCCTCGCCATAGGACCAGATTTCATTGTCAGCGCCCGAAGCAGTTGGTTGGCCTTCGGGCTTGGGCTCCCGGTCACCGTGCAGACGCATTACAGGACAAAACGCACCCCACTGGAACCATCGGGTGAAGAGTTCGCGGAACGCGGGATCAGCGGGGTTACCCCCGTGGAAGCCTCCGATATCCGTTGTCCACCACGGGATTCCTGCGAGGCCCATGTTCAGGCCCGCGGCCAGCTGGTTGCGGAAGGAACCCCACGACGACGCGATGTCGCCGCTCCAGACGAGAGCACCGTACTTCTGGCTGCCGGCCCAGGCGCACCGGAGCAGGTTCACGATGTTCTTCTGTCCCTCGGCCTCCATGCCTTCGTAAAAGGCCCGCGCATATTCCCTGGGGAAGATGTTGCCGATCTGTAGGTTGCTGCCAGCCTGGTAGCGATAAATGTCAAAGTCGTAGATCGAGTATTCAGGCTCGGCCTCGTCAAGCCAGAATATCTTGATCCCTTTGTCGTAGTAGTTTTTCTTTGCCTTTTCCCAGATATACTTGCGGGCCTCGGGGTTCGTCGCGTCGAAATGTGTGACATCGCCGTCGCATTGCATAGCTACTCGAAGGCCGCGGTCATGTCTGATCAGTAGACCGCGTTCGAGCATCTCCGGGTAGTTTTCAGATAGGTTCTCGACCGTCGGCCAGATGGAAACCATGAGCTCCACGTTCATCTCTTTGAGTTCTTCCACCATTGCATCTGTGGTCGCAGATCTATCAGCAACTACCGATGTATACCATGCGGCTGGAGTAGACTCACCTGGGTCCGGCCAGAATTTGGGATCAAAACTCCATTCTCCTTGGTGCTTCCAGTGAAAGAAGTCAACTACAATAACATCCAAAGGAACATTGCGTCGTTTGTACTCTCGCGCGACGTTGAGCAACTGCTCCTGATTCCAATAGCGGAGCTTGCACTGCCAGAATCCAAGACCGTACTCTGGCATCATCGGGACATACCCTGTCACCTTGCAATATGCTTCTTCGATCTCCGCGGGTGTATCACCCGCAACGACCCAGTAGTCGAGGACCTTTGTCGAGTATGCCTCAAAGCTCATGACGTTTGTTCCGAGCACTGCTCGTCCGATCCCGGGATTGTTCCACAAAAGGCCGTACCCAAGAGAGGAGAGAGCAAACGGAACACTAGCTTGGGAATTCCGATGTCCCAACTCCAAGTCGACGCCCTTGAGATTCAGATAAGGCTGCTGATACTGGCCCATGCCGTAGATCTTCTCCTTCGGGTCTAGCGACTCCAATCGCATCGTGAGATGATAATCTCCTCCCAGGATTGGACGGAGCTCGCGCGCTTCAATCTCGAGGGCGCTGCACTTCGGGTCCATTGGATCACGGCGATGACGGGCATATTCTTCCAGGAGCTTTTTACCATTGGATTTGTAGATTGTGATCTTGCCTCGCTGGGAGACAATCGCCTTGATTTTACCGTTGGAAATGCTTGCCTCTTTGCCGGTGGGGGTTTCAATGACCCCCTGCTGAGTGCTCGGCTTTGCGGATAGCGCCCAATCTTCAGAGGGCATAGACGCCAATTTCGTAGCTCTGATACGAAATGCATTCTCACTCCATGGCTGGATCCAAAGAATGTGGTCATCAAATCGGTAGATGAGCTTATCGTCTTCGGTGTAAAGCATTATGGACAAAGTGGGCTGGTAAACACAGATCGATAATAACGTCCGTTATTCTCTTCGTAAAGCTAAGAGTAAGAGCGAACCCAGAAAGAAACCCGTTTATTTCGGGGTACAGCTCACTCATATGGAATCTGGTCACTGCACCGACTCTTCGGTCAGAAGTCCAGATTGGCCAGTGCATCATCCGTAAATGTGGAACGCGAGCGAGGTCCACATCATCTCCATCGCAGCTGTCTATGAGCCTGTCATCATTTTCGCGCTGCAAGAGGGCCTAACGGGCGCGATATATGGCTGCAATTGATTGCTCATGTCCTCGGAAAAAGTCCTGTGGAGGCGGAGGTGGAGGTGGGGGAGACCAGTTGACAACCAACTCCATAGTTCTTTGGAAGCCAGAGAAGCGGAGACGCGCCGCTCATTCACATTATTCATCCATTGGACTATCAGCTAAACTAAAGGTTTAAGGAGTTGGAGAATAGCCTAATTGAGGTAGTACGGGAAGGACGATGTTCGAGCGGGGGAAGTCGAAAGGCTGCAGCTTCCAATCGTCTGGTCCATACTGGTGTTCTTTGCCCACACCAAGTATCTGGGATCAACCAGAAGTGCAGCAAATGACACCTGCGTGTGAGCTTAACAAGGCTCAAGACTTAATTACACTACTGCTCCTACTCCATTCATTACGACTGCATTTCTCTTTTCAAGATATCAGAAAGGAGCGGATCGTACAAAAGCCAGGTCGATGGAAGACCAAGTGAATCGACAGTAATTGCTATCGGTGACTGAGTCGAGGTTTTGATCCTATTGACTGCAGATAGAGTACGCTCCAGATCTTGGGCAAGCCGACTGGAACCCTTTGGCTGATCTTTGTTTTGCCAATTGTTACCTATAAAAGATAATCCGGCTGTACCTGGAGTCAGACCCCATCTCGACAACTGCAAAAGCAATGGTACACGTCTGGCGCAATTCACATCTGTGCCCAGAGGGGAAGTTGTATAGTGAGGCCTGCAGACTTGACTTGGGCTCTAGCTGTCAGCAAATGTTGAGACATTGACCCATTCTTGAAGGGGCCCAAGTTTTTCTGAATCTTCATTGATGACCCTGGACAACATGTTGTGAGGCGAATTCGATTTCACTTATGCCATCAAATCCAACCACGAAAGCAGTCTGTATCTGGTTGCTTGCTGAATTCAAACTAAGATTTGCAAGTAGACTTTGCTGCCTGTCAATCATTCACCTGAAGCCTATTGCCAGCTTATTCCAGCTTCACCGTAAAAACATAAGTAGTCTCCAGCTATCCAATCTTAGGAGACTAAGCCATGATCGAATGGTAGCGTAGAGAGAATGTTAGTCCAATGATTCCGGCTGCCAGAATTATGTAAAGGTGTTCGTCAATGTTGATTGAGCAGACTGAGTGCGCTCAATGTACATAGAGTGTAAATCCAATTCGTGGCTGGTTAGAAGACAGACGTGATATGTGGCGGAGTTGGATCTCTACTCCGCCCGCCGCCTTCCCCAGTTGGGTAATCCGGAAGTGCTCTCAGTAACTTCATCACTGGTTGGACTCGCTGCTGATTCAGTTCGCTACATATTTATCAACTCCACGTCTTTTACAGCCCCTCAATTGATTGTCTCTACTCTCATATTCTAACCGGTTTTACGAACCTGCCGATTTTCTTTTGTCCACGAATCTTGTTCTCCTCCCTCATGGAGGTTGCCAGCATGACACAGCCTGACCAGGCAAACGGTGCTCACTCAACTTCCATCGCCATGGACGCCTCTATGGATATCGACATGGATATTGACCTCGGACCGCTTCCAGAGCCGGAACCAATTGAAACAGTGAGCGAGAACGGCACCAATTTGTCTGCTTTGCTCTCTCGTGATAACTGACATGTCTCAAAACTACCTTAGGATCCCGCGACAACAACAGTTACTAGTCAAGACGGCTCGATCGATCCCACAACGGCTGAAACGCAGTATGAGAAGGTTCATATACGAGGTGTTGACGATTTAACTACGGATAGTATCAAACAATTCGCGACAGATTACTTCTCCGGCGAGGCCCCTTCCCGCATCGAGTGGATCGACGATACATCCGCAAATATCATCTATTCATCTCCTGAAGTTGGTCTGCAAGCTCTGGCAGCTTTCACGCAGACCAGCGAAGAGGAAGATACATCTTCATTTCCACCTTTGCGCTTACGGTCTGCCAAGGCGTTGTCGACGCACCCCGAATCTGTGCTTCAAGTAAGGTCGGCAGTGAAGACCGATCGCAAAAAGCCCCGGGCCTACGAAGCCAGTCGATTCTATCTCATGCATCCTGAACACGACCCCCGGGAGAAGCTGCGACGAGAACTCGCAGATAGACGTCGTCAAGGCGGTGAAGTCTCAAGCGATGGTGACTATCAACGAAGACGGTTCGACGGTCGGGAGCTTAGACGGCGAAGAGACCGTGACGCGGACGAACATTTCAGCGCCAATATGTACGACGATGAAGGCCCACGTGCTAGCTCCGACTATTCAGACACAGAGAGAGGTCGCAACGGACGAACACGGAGAGGCCAGCGGGAACTATTCCCAGACGAAGGACGTTTATCTGGCCGCCTTCGGAATCGGAGCGCCTCTCCAGGTCGCGACACCCTGGCCGAGAGTGGTCGTCTAGAGCAAGAGGAGCGCGGCACACGAAGTCGCTTCCGGGAGCGCTCGCCACAGCTTATCCGTCGCAACGAAGGCAAGGAGCTTTTGCCCTCTCGTACTAGCGACAGCGATTCCAATGCCCGCGAACTCTTTCCAAACAAGCCATCGTCGAGCTACCTCAAGAAAGAACTTTTGCCAAGCAAACAAAGCAATCATCGTCGCTCAGATGCGATTGATGCCGCTGATGACACAGCAGATCTGTTCTCGAGAATCTCTGCACCCCGGGGGGATGGCGCTCGGGACCAGAACTTGTCGCGCAATAAGAACATCGAGTTGTTTCCGGACTCGGCGGGTCAAAACGGGGTCAACATTCGTGGAGCAGCTGGCCAGGACCAGGGTATCTCGATTCGAGGTGCGGCCAACGGCGTGTCAATCAAGGGTCGAGGCTCATCTGTCCGAGAGCTGTTCCCTTCCAAGTACAAGTCCAATGCCGGCAAAGAGTTATTCTCTGATAAGATAGAAGGACGAGGCGGTCCTCGAAGGAGGGCAGAGGACATGTTTGGCTAGGGGAAAGGAAGCTCTTGCACCAAACAACAAAAATTTGGAGTCTGCTACTGTTTTGTTTCATTCTGCTCTAAACATCTAGGGATGGCCTGATACCATTGCATAGCTGATTTCATCCGAATCTTTTGAAACTATTCAAATTCTACTCAATCTGTATTACTATAGCAATTAACTAAGAGTCCTAAGCAATGAAACGGTTGAATGTAATTTTAAATTTTCTTGTTTCTATAGGGTCCTGATATCACCGAGGAACGGAACTCGCGCTCAGTGATCTAATGTCGTTCGGCTTCTGTCAACGTTCCGAATCGCTAGACACATCAGATTGGCGAGATGGCGGCAACAACACAACTGGCTAGTGTCCTAGTAGCTCGCTTCCTTCGTTCGAATAATTATACAGAGACGCTGAATGTCTTCATCCGAGAAGCGGGACTTCCAGCCGACGCGGGGCAACCGGGTGCAAAGACCGACAACAGCGAGTGGACGATCGAGGGGGTCCTTGAAGAGAAACAAGTGTTTGATGAGAGCGTAAAATTCGAGCGATACGGTCAAAATGAAGAGAAAAACGTCTGGACGGTTCCAGGTCAGCCAGCAATCGTTCCCTCTCTGACTTGCAGCCTCGATGTTGCGGAGATATTTATGTTTGCTGACACGACCCAGCACCCTCAACACCAAATGTCATCCAAACACCAACGTCTGCCAATCTCCTAGCGTGTTCTGTAGAGCCCTGGCAGAATCCTAGCCAGAAGGAGAATCAAGATGACCCGTCACAATACATCATCGCCACGGGCGCAGATAGACAAGCCCACCTTTTCACGACAGACGAAGGCAACGATGTCATCACTTCGTTTGCAGGACACTCTGACTCCCCGGTGCTATCATACGCGCCTATCCAAAATGGCAAATACGTCCTAATGACCAACATGTCCGGCCAGCTTCTTCTCCAACGGGGTGCTGAGATTCTGTCACGCCGTAAAGACCATGCCAAGTATGCAGTCAAGGTGATCGCATATGAAGATGATCAGCTAGGCGGAGCTACATCCAACGTCGTATGGATCGCTACCGCTGGCTGGGACTCCAAGATCTTACTCTACCGTCTCCTTGTCCCTAGCGGAGCAGGAGATCCAGACTCCGTGGAGCTCAGCGAGCCCATCGCCCACATCAAGCTGCTCACCAACCCGGAATCTATCCTCTTCGTCCGCCACCCAGATACCCAGGAACTTGTCCTGCTCGCCTCGCGCCGCGACTCGACCTACCTCTTCTACTACGGCATCCCGGCGTCGACGGCTACAGAAACGCCCAGCGAGTGCAAGCTCCTCGGCAAACAGAACCTAGCCCCTCACTCCAACGCCTGGGTGGCGTTCTCTCCTTCCTGTCTTGCTCTGAGCCCGCACGACCCCGGCCTCATAGCCGTCGCGGCCTCGACCCTCCCGCACATGAAGGTTATCATAGTGCGCCTGCTATTCCCGAAGCAGGAGTCGTCGGAGCCAGAGACACAGGCCGCGCAAGCCTTTGCGGCGCTTGCGCTTCAGAACCGCGAAGATGCGGCCATCATGATCCAGGCGAATACGTTTGCGCCGCAGACGGTCTACTCCACGCCGCAGGTGGTTTGGCGGCCTGATGGGTCGGGGGTGTGGGTGAATGGTGATGACGGCGTGATTCGGGGCGTAGAGACTATGACGGGGAAGGTGACGGCGATATTGAAAGATGGGCATCAGGTTGGATCGAAGGTACGGGCTATCTGGGCTGGTTGGGTTGAGGTGCAGCGAGATGGCAAGGTGGTGAAAGAGGAGTGGCTTGTTAGTGGTGGGTTTGATAAGAGGCTTATTGTTTGGAGGGTGTAGATCTTGTAAGACTCAATCAGGTATTGAAGCAGGTTCTTTGGAGTGAAGCGCATGGAGGTCGTAAACAAATCTAACATGAAAAAGATTGGAAGATATGATATTCAGAACTATCTTGCTTACGAGTATGTAGCCCTCCATCCATGCACCCTCTCGCCACGGAGAGCAAGGGGAAGGGTGTTTGGTAATAGGAGGGCATGGGATCTCTTCTCGGCACGTTGAAAAATCCTTCAGCAAACGCGCATGGAAAAGACACGAAGCTGTACACACATATGCCTGAATGGACGACGGGATGACCGAATATCGTTCCCGGTGTAGTAGAAAACAAAGACAAACTGAATCAAGTCGGCATGAAAGCATGCCCAATCGCGAAAACAAGATCATGCTCCAGGCACTCATGATGGCCAAGTCGTGGAATCGAATCCATTTTTGTGTTATTTAACAAGCCGTCGTGCGAAAACCCAGCCAGGCTCTTCCGACGCGACGCTCTGTGTCATCGCACATTAAACCAACTCAAATCGCTTCCCATTTAATTTCGATGAATCAATTTATGCGATCTCCCGCTTGCCCTCCTTGCGCTCCTTCTGCAGGATAGTTAGCCATGTCCTCCGGCACCCAGCTGCTTCCGACTCAGCAGCAGCAAAAGGTCAACGTACCAGAGCCTTCATGGTGCCGTGAAGGGCGTGTCTGTGGTTGCGGCGGAACTTGGGGTCAACACCCTTGAGGGAAGGGTAACGGTGAGTCTTAGGCTTCTTGATACTGTTGGAATCAAACGGCAAATATCAGCGACCTGTCTTCTCCTTCTTCAAAATGTGGTTGGTGGATATGTTGCAAGACGGTCGCGAGTCATTCATGACCGATTCCGTGATGTCAAATCTATCACTGCAACAATCCTTCCCATCCGACCAAAATATTTCGATTTCAAAATGTTGAGGACTGTACGAACCCGTTACGGTGAGCCTTCTGGCTGCGGTGGTGCTGAGACGCGTTCTTGGACTCTGTTCAAAGTGAAAAATGACCGTCAGCGACTTCCGAAAACACCGGGGATATTGTGCTGGTATTGAATCGATTCGAGGATTCCAAAATGCCGGGGTTCAGGTAACGTACTGGCCATCTTGACGGGATGTGTCGCAACAAGAAACGGGTTGACGATGAGTTGGGCGGATTGAAGATGTCCTTGAACTGAGCAGAAGGCTAGAGACCCCCCAAAGATTCCGGCTAGGGTTCCGCTGGGAAAGATTTGTGTGGGATTTCGCTTACTGCTCCTGCGGCTAGCGTCATTGGTCCATTCCGTTCGGCCAACTGCGTCAGCGCCATATGTCTACCTTATGTTCACAACAACACTTGCTGCCAGTCAGTATCGGGTTGTCCCTCTACGTAATGTGAGACTACTTGTCTATATGTCTTTCAATTTTGACATCTGTAGAGCAACTTATCAATCTTAACATGGAGAATTAGTGCCTCATACGCCGGTAGCAAATGTGGTTGGGATCCCGTGACCTGATTACTAAGGCGTATGCTAATACCGCTTAACATAGAGGATGGCCAAGTGTCAGTCATGCCAGACATCACTTGCTTGTTTCAGGTAAAGGTGGTAGGGGCAACAGTAGCTTGGGTGGTCAGCAAGCCCGCGAAAATACATTGTCATAAGCATGGGATATCTGTTACGAAGATCAAGGACACAGGGAGTTGATATCACGTGATTTATATCGTGCTGCTTGAAACCTGCATGTTGAAATGTACTGCGGAGTAAGATTCCGGAATCAATGCATTCGTCAGTAGTGTATATGCTAATGATATTACATCTGAGTATCTGCCAATGGCACTTTATCATGCCATTGCTGTCCGAAATGGATACGAAAGCGTAGCAATCGATGTAGTCGCATGCGCGACGGACTCTTTGTCCTAGTAATAGGCAAAAGATATTGACCTTTCAGAATAGAAGAAACACTTCTTCATCGCCAATCGATCCCTCAGACCTTGTATAAAACAAACGATCTCGGGTTGTTCAATTACGTACTAAGATTGGTGTTGAATACTTGAGCGTTGTCATTTGATGCCTCTGTCCACTTTTATCACGTGATGCGAAGAGCCGCTAGGGAACAACCGGCAGTCGGACTTCGACCTTTGCATCTTTGACCCAGGTTCAAGAGGGATACCATCACCACCTTTTCCCGTCCATCCATTGCAAGATGAGCTCTCTTCGCTTCGCTCGCTCTGCTCTCAGGGCTCGTCCCTCTGCTCTCCGCGTGCCTCTCCAGCGCAGAGGTTACGCTGAGGCTGTGTCGGACAAGATCAAGCTTTCTCTGGCCCTTCCTCACCAGGTACGATCCGAAATAACTGAACGCATCCTTCTCCGCATATAGGCTGGAAACTGACACAGGTATCCTGGAATAGACTATCTTCAAGTCGGCCGGCGTGTACGTGACGAACAACTCCCTTCTGATCGACGACCAACGGTTCTAATCATACTTGAATGCGTACTGACGACCTCCCCCTACAGTGTCCAGGTCAACATCCCCGCCGAGTCCGGAGAAATGGGTGTCCTCGCCAACCACGTTCCCTCCATTGAGCAGCTCAAGCCCGGTCTCGTTGAGATCGTTGAGGAGGGTGGTGCCAACAAGAAGTTCTTCCGTACGTCCGGACAACCTCGCTAAGATTTGCGCTCTGCGATATCGCGGTTACCACGAAGATGTCGCATTGCTTTCCTTTAGCATCGCACTAACAAGTCTGCGTTCTCCAGTCTCTGGTGGCTTCGCCGTCGTTCAGCCTGACTCCGCTCTGAGCATCAACGCCGTGGAGGCATACCCCCTCGAGGACTTCAGCGCCGATGTAAGTTGTGGGAACGAACAAAATGTCTTGATATACTTTTTTGACCGTCATCTTTCAATTACAGGCTGTCAAGTCCCAGATCGCCGAGGTCCAGAAGATTGCCAATGGTAGTGGCAGCGAGCAGGACATTGCTGAGGCTAAGATTGAGCTCGAGGTAGGTCAACCACAAACGCGTTAGCATGAACCTAGACTCAATGACTAACGTTGTCACAGGTTCTGGAGACCCTGCAATCCGTCCTGAAATAGATACCTGATGTACATAACCACTCGCGATTGCAATTCTGAACTTGTAGAATTATAACAATTCTCCGGCAAGGTTTTCAATGTTACTTGCACCTTATCCTACCATGTGCCCTACTCTGTGAACTATGAAGTCCTAACCCTTAGGAGATCGTTGTGTGGGACGGGATCACGCCTGCCCGGAATGGATTCGCATCCTATCTGACTTCCTAATCTGGCCCGCAAACTTGTTATTCTTCAACCTCCCCCTCGATTCCTTATATCTAATTGACAAGCTTCACAGATATCTTTGCCTGCCGTTGCCCATTTTTTCAGATACCTACAATAGTTGAGAATGGACCAAGTAACATCGCAGCGACAGTTCAGCCCTTCACATACATTGCAGTTCGCGCTGGAGGAGCGTCTGCAAGAGAATGCACCGGTCACTCCTTCAAAATCTCCAAACAAGACCAGGCTCACGGAGTCGGAAGACGACATTTGCAGTTTGTTCGACGAGTACCCAACCAGATTAGATCTGTCTCATGTGCTTGAACTCGACGGAGTTCGAAATGACCGAAGCACGAACGCCAAAGCCACGACTCCAACAGTACCCTCCAGTTGGCAGCCTGATACGCACTTCATCTTTGACGAACCTTTGCCCACAAATCCAACTAATAGTCCGGCGTCCGAAAGCGAACAGGCAAAGCACCTTTCGTCTGCGCACCTATACCGCGAACGAAACAGAAAAAGTGTGCTCTCATCACATAAGAGTAACATCGCAATCACCTGGACGGAATGCAGCTCAGAGAACGTCCGAGCCAGCCTCTTGACCAATGAAGATGGGAGTATTTGGAGACCACCAAAGCCACCGAAGCCTCCTTTCCTCACTGATGCTACGGTAGACGGTTGCAATTTTTCTGGCCAAGGCCAACCACGAGCAAGTACAATCTTACCGGGGCGCAAGCACCCTACGCCGTCGCACCACACAAATTTTCCCCAGCCTCGAAGATGGCCTCGGCCACACTCTCGCTTTGTGCAGTATCTCCCTTCGGAAGGGAAAAATGCCTCAACTGCGCAAAGAAAGGAGGCATGGATGGATTTGAGCCCACATAAGCCTCATAATCAGCGGAAGGTCGCCCATCGCGGTGTTGACAATGCCTATCGTGTTCTAATAGGCGATCCGGACAAGCCATTTCCAGCTCCGATACCTACCAGTGATAGATTACCGCTGCTTCGGGCTATACTTTCGCCCGAGTCCCGAATCGCATTCTTGAGGTCACTCAGCACCGACTATGGAGCCTCCTCTAGCAAACCGAAAGAGACCACATTTCTGAAGCATTTAGCCGGTTTGCTGTCGCGTCCCTCGAGATTGATTCCCCACTGGCAGAAGATACGCAGTTCTACTCCGATAACATTGACCCTATACCAGCCTCTGCACAGCCCGCGGTGCTCCTCGCTAGTTCAGGTTTCATACATGGTGCATGTGGAAGCTGTTTTATCCGCCTACCAGAAACGTGCTGCAGATTCCGAACAGGATGTATCTTCTTACCGTACTTCAATCGATGGATATACACGTCTTTTCGAATTTCGTCTCCCTATGCCCACCTTATGCTTCGACATCGTCCGGCCATTCATCGTTGGTATGCGGCATCCGATCTTAGTGACTATTGCATCGATGTTCGTCTGTGCCTTTGCAATCATCTTACGATTTCTTGCCGGTATGGGTCTTTGGAGTCTGTCCAGCCCTCATGAAAAACACCCTTATTTGGAAGAGGAAGATTCGGATTCCGCTGCACTTCAAAATTGATGGCTCATACTTGCATATCAGCGTTCGAGAGCTCCATGGGTGTATACACTCTGAATAGTTTTATGGCCGTATCGTCCCGATCCAAAAGACTGCTCCGTTCTCGCCTATAAATGAACTTGATTATAGTCATGAGTGAGACCGGAATGGTCAGACCGGGCAATTTACCTTATTAATTGCTGTTGTCATTCTAACTTAGGTAGTACCCGCGTGGAATGAGAGATCCCCAAGAGAAGGCACAGAAATCCAAAAAAAGGATGGACCGCATATAGAAGGACAAATATGAGGACATCACAATCGTAAGGCAATTTAGATAAATTACAATCAGATAGACAACTTCAAAATGGAGAAAAGAAATCGTCTCAAAACGTGTATCATCACTCGCCCTTGACCAATTCCTTGAGTCTTTTTTCAAGAACCTGTCGACCTTCCGTGGTCCTCCACACCTCGTGAGGTGCACCCTTGACGATGTCCCAGTCCTTCAAGTTCTTCGTGATCTTGGTCAGATCCTCCTGCGTCTTGGCCCACTTGTCGCTCCTGCGGACCTCGATCCCTGAGCTCACGACGACAAGCGGCGTATCGGGCATCTGGACGTGGCGCGCCGTCTGGACCTCGGAGGCAGTCATCGACTCGGCGACGAGGTTCTCCTGCAACTTGGCCTTGAGGAACTTGCCCGTCTGGTACGCGCTGCGGCCGTAGACGCGGTCTTCGCGCGTGCGGCCCTTGAAGATGGCGCCGAAGATGCGGTCCAGGCCCAGCGGGGAGAGGATCCCGCGGAGCCAGAGCAGGAAGCCACGGCCGGGGTTGCCTACTTTGCCCAGGTAGTCCTCGTGCATGGCGTCGATGAGCATGATGCCCTCCGTTTCGAGGAGGTGGCGGCTGGAGAAGATCCGGCTGTAGATGGAGCCGATGCCGGAGGAGACCAGGACCCAGGGTCCTTCCTCGCCGGCGAGGGCAAGGGCTTCGGAGAGGGCATCGGCTGCCATGCCGGCGGAGTGTGGGGAGGGAGCATTGTCGGACCAGGCATGTCCTGGTCGGTCCCAGTAGCAGTAGCGGTTGATGAGGCCTTGTTTGTAGACGTCGTCGATGAACGGTTGCAGAGAGTCCTCAACTGGGCCTTCGCCGCCTTCGAGGAGGACAGTGGGTGGTTTCTTTCCCTTGCCGTCGGTCGTGCCGTTGATGGGGCCGACGCAGGCGAGGTGGACTTGGTACTTCTCTCCGTTGACGAGGTATTTTTGTCCCGGGGCGGGGAGGGAGGCATCGCGGGCGCGGATGATCAGAGTTGCAGTGAAGAGGATTGAGACTATGGCGAACACGACCATGATGATCGTTTCGACTAGCACGGCAATCCATTCCCGGAGGGACCGGCGGGTTTCCTCTCGTCCGGTAAGGCGCTCCTCTTCCTCCCTCTTGCCCCAGGCAACGGTCCGGTTTTGAAGGACGTTGAAAATGGAAATCAGGGTGGCCCAGACGACCGAGGTGATACCGACCCAGCCCTCTTCTACACGCAGCTGAGGTACGCCGAGGATGATGCACATGTCCACGAAGAGAAAGACGGCCAGCACTATGCCGGATATTGTCATAGCCTTTGACGGGATAGTAAAGAATAGCAGCGCGATGATGAGGTAGCCGATGGTGAGTGAGGTATACGCGAGGCTAAAAAAGCCAGAGCCACGGCTGTGCATCATAGGAGGGCTGACGAAGATGGAGACGAGCAGGAACGTCCACCAGACGAAACTGATGGCGAGACAGAAAGAGGACAAGGCTCTGAGAGCCCTGACACTCCATAGATTGTAGGGGGATACCTGATAGTAAAAGGATGTTAGTGAAACACGAACAGAGGAGGAGGTTTGTTCTCATCAACATGCGCAACTTACTGCAGGATCATCGGGACTCAGATATCCTTGGTTTTCTCTCGGCAGTAGTCGTGTCCGTTCATTTGCTTCTTGATGCTGTCCTCTTGCTCTGTCATCCCCATCAGCGCCTTGCTCCTCTCGCTCCGAGTCACCGTTTCTCCGCCACAGTGAAACCATTGTCCTCTGCGCGGTCTATGTCATAGGCAGGACTTCTGTAATAGAAGACAGTGGAGTCGTTATGACTATTCTGTCAGAGATATCGCGCAAAGAATAAATTAATTATGGCCTTGACTAAGAAGGGATAGGTGGATTATGAACAATAAAAATTAAGCTAGAGAGGCAACGATAGTAAGGTAGATCATGAATCCCTGGAGGAGTTGACGTCATGACGAACGCAGCCAGCGAGCGGCTCATTGTCAAGGCGAGCGTGTAATACCGAACAGGATCTGGCAGTAGATAAGCTCATGTTTGCTACCGGAAACGGAGCTTTGTGTCCAGCTGATCATGGGCGGTCCCAGAGCCACGATAGACACATTCATTGAAGATCCATTGATGCAGCTCCTGCTGATCCCTGAATTGCAGACGCAGTGAGGTCATCGACGATCCATTAGACCACGTGATATTTGATTACTCATCATCATAGAAGTAGTTAACTAACTAAATAACTACCTCTTTATGGATAGACCTGTTGACATGGGAAAGGAGCCACTGTTTCTGGCCAATTATGAGAGAGGTAGAGGTGCTATGTTTTGATCTGATCGGCTAGCCTTTCTATATATATCTCTCTCGCTTCAGGGCAACTGCTGGTACCATCTAGCATGGGCAACTTCAACAGCTGGCCAGGAGACAAGCCTCTTGAAGGCCTCCCATTCCATCTCAAATGTACTTCATCAACCAGTATACAAGATTTTGGACCAGGAGGTGATCATCAGCCCTGGAGACTGTCCCACCCCTCAGTCACGTCCCACCCAGCCATCGACATTCCCACAGCGCCTTTTCCTGCATGATCAGTTTTGGCTGCATTTTGTTTCAGACTTGCCATTATGTCTTTCCAGCTGTATGATGGAGCCATCACAGTCAACACAGACACCAGCCCTCGCGGCCTGGATGAGGCGACGCGGACACTCTACAACCGCGCCATTATCGACCCATCCTCACTGACCGATGCAGGATGAAGAATCGTCCCCCATCGCCCGCCCGCAGAGGAAGAGGATGCCCTCTGCCGAAGCGCCTGTGGACAGAGCATGAGTGCAGTCGTCGCCAAAGCCATTCACAATGGTGGTGCCCTCACGTCCAATGAAGCCCACCTCCTAACGGCTGGGGTCGTCCGCAACCAAGCCGGATGGCTCCTGGCTGAACGGGTTCGACTCAGCGCCGCGGACCGCGATCTCACCCACAGGGCGGTCTCCGCTGCGATGACCGATGAGATGAAGGCCGCGCGGACCAGTGCCCAGGCTGTGCAGCACCGCTAGCACATCGCACAGAACGCGGCAGCCGAGGCCCTGGGCGACGACGACGTCCGCAATATCCGCTATGCGATGCGTGTTCTCTGGCAGGTTCACGTTCTGAATTTCCCCGAGGCGACAGTCTGTGGCCTGGTATTGGTCTACGCGGATGGGCGCGAGTGGGCCGACTTCAAGGCGCAGATCGAAACGGCCATCTACCACGGGTTGCATTACACAGCGCTATCTCCCAGGCGAGGCAAAACGGCGACCATATCGCCATACCTCGGAGCATGGACTTTTGCATCAGGCGGCGCGTCACTCGCGGAATGCAGAGGGAGAGCCGGATGGGATCTGGCCACCTCCGGCTCGATATATGTGGTTATATCTACTCTCTTCTTTGTCAGTAGAAATAGTGGGACAATGGTGTACCAATTGCAGACTTGCCATTTCTACAACAATCAAGATATCTCTATCTTACTGCGTATTGTAACCTATACACCAGCACAAACAGAATAATCTGGTCGTAATTACTCCCCACCATGGATGTACGAGTAGAACTGATCGGAGTAATCCCATGAATGGCCGTAATATCGTACTGAACAAGTTTAAAGCTCCTACATCCGATGACCATCCCGTCTGCGTGAACATGATGGTATTCATCTATAGCAGCGACCGGTGCTTACTCACCCACCAGCTCAGGGCGGCACTGCCCGCCTACTACAACCAGCAACACATTCATTAACATCTGCTTGCAAGTCAATGATGCGTCAATAATAAGACAAAATTGAGTTACAATATAAACCATCATTGTAGACGTCGGTCCTCTTTTTCCTCCTATCCCGCTATATCTAGTCCAGTGTCAAAACACCCTGTTAAGGTTGGGCTTACCCCACGGTACCACAACGCCATCTCCGAATAGATGGTCAAATGAACTCCCCTTCTAATCAACGAATTTGCTCTGACGGCGATATAGAGGCATTTATAATCAGACCATAGCCATAGATATTAACCGCCCATGAGCGATCTTCACAAGGCTTTTGCCAAATCAAAGCTGGCCAAGTTGCCGCCCGAGGCCCCTCCTCTATTCGACTCTTCGTCAATGAACCAGCCCGCCGAAAGCAGTCACGATGAGGACTCGTCTTCAGTCTCATCAGCAGGGACTGTCATTCCCTCGCCGAGCAGGCAGCTGTTTGCCAGAGCCAGCCAGGGGTACGTTAGCACTGTCGTACTGTAGATGCATGTGCATTCCGGATGCATTCACTGCCAACCAACCCCATAGGACTCCCATGAGAAAGTTGTCAGAATTCCAGCTAATGACATCCAGATCCTCCGACTCGTCCTCATTGAGCTGGTCAGACTTCTTCGCCCAAGAGCTCTTTCTAACTCGCGAAACCGACTCCCTCCGCATCATCCACCATGTCTATCTCACGCCACCCACCGACTCAGGCCCGCTCTTTGTCATGCACCATGGAGCCGGTTCATCAGGTCTCTCGTTCGCAACCTGCGCAGAAGAAATCCGCAAGGTCCTCCCCAAAGCCGGGATCCTGTCGTTAGACGCGCGTGACCACGGTCAGACCTCAGTGCAACGGGCTGATGGAGGAGCTGTCGAGCTAGATCTCAGCCTAGAGACCCTGCACCAAGACCTGGTCTACGTGGTCCGCAAGACCCAGGCGGAAATGGGCTGGGGGGAGCTTCCCGACCTGGTTCTTGTGGGGCATAGTCTCGGGGGAGCGGTGATTACTGATGTTGCGAAGAAGGGGGAGCTCGGCAACAAATTACTGGCTTATGCGGTGCTGGATGTTGTCGAGGGTATGTATATGATGCGCCTATCTATTTCATGTGTTGTACTGACAATAAATCACACAGGCTCAGCCATGGATGCCCTCCAAAGCATGGAGAAATATCTCTCCACTCGTCCTTCTAGATTTCCCTCGTTGACATCGGGAATTGAGTGGCAGTATGTCAAATATCTTCCGTCTACATCACCGAAAGAAATGTCGATTAGAAACTAACCAGCCCACAGCACCCGGTCCCGGACAATCCGAAACAGAACCTCAGCCAGAGTCTCCGTCCCATCCCTCCTATACAAAGAAGAAACGCCCTCAGACCCCTCCAAACCATGGGTCTGGCGGACCAACCTCTCCGCCACGAAGCCCTTCTGGGAAGACTGGTTCATCGGCCTCAGTCGGAAATTCTTGGAGGCGCGCGGCGGCAAACTCCTCCTGCTAGCCGGGACAGATAGGCTGGATAAGGAGTTGATGATCGGGCAGATGCAAGGTCTGTTTCAGCCTTTCCCTATTGACCGCGTTTCCTGCTGACTTGTGTGCGTGCAACCCTCAGGAAAATATCAACTCCAGGTCCTCCCCGAAGCGGGCCATTTCGTCCAGGAGGATACGCCGGCGAAGACGGCGCAGATCTTGGTGGACTTTTATAAGCGGAATGATCGGAGCGCGCTGGTGCTTCCGCCAAAGGTGGCTGATATGCAGGCTTCCGCTGCCATGCAGAAGGGTGCAGGGGCTTCGGTTGGTGCTTCGCATGGCGGTGGCAGCGCGGGACATATGCAGAAGCCGTAGAGTAGTAGCGAAAATCTAATGTTGCGCGGCTTCCCGACAAAGAGGGATTGCCGTCGGTTATAGACTTACAAACACGGATTTGATTAAAGCATTATTGGACAGAGGAAAGCCAGGGTCTTTCTTTGTACTATTGCCAATTTAACACCGATGCCTCCCCCCACGACGCCGCCGAATACCAAACCACCAAGCACTATGATAGTCCACTGAGCAATGGGAAATGAAAGGGAAGACAGATCAAAATACAATACGGGTATCTGGCGCCACTTTTGCAACGTAACGAAACTCACAATTTCTCGTCAAGGGAGATAAGCCCCGCCGGCAATGATCAAATTCATGTTGGTGAACTTGACTTTGTAGACTGGGCTCTTCTTCGTTGGGAAGGCGCTGATCTGGTCAGGTGTGACGACGACATCCTTTCCTTTCTTCTTGCCCATTCCCGGAGCGACCGAAGTCGAGGGTTGGGTGGAAGCGGCCGAAGGGTTGCCAGCATCGACCTTGGTGCCTGCTCCGCCTTCGCCGACTACACGACCCTGGGACGGATCTTGGGCTGGGCCGGTGACATCCCACACGCGGACAGTGCCGTCGGCGCCGCCAGAGACCAGGACGGTCGACTCAACGCTCCAACTAAGGGACCAGATGCCTCCTTTCCCGTGACCGCGCATGCGCTTCAACAATCTTCCCGGTGCCAGATCCCACACGAGGATGGATCCTTGATCGTCTGCGGATGCAAGAAGTTTGCCATCTCTGCTGCAGGCCAAGGCTGTGATATTGCCGGTGTGACCAGTGAACATCCGCACAGCGTTACCGGTGGTGACCGCCCACATGCGGACCGTATGGTCGGAGCTGCCAGTGAAGACGTAGGCGGAATTCGGGTGGAAGCAGACGCAGTCCACGTCTTGATCATGGCCGACGAAAATGCGCTGCTGACGAATGTGGTCTGTAACCCAGAGACGAGCAGTCTTATCATGTCCGCCAGAAACAAAGTAGTGACCGAAAGGTCCCCATTGAAGGTCCCAAACAGGCTGATCATGGCCCTTGTAGACGACCATGCACTGCCATAGATCGAGGGACCAGAGTCGGATGGTCTTGTCTGCAGACGAGGAAAGCAGCCAACGGGCGTTGGTCGGCGCTACAGCGCCCTCTGAGCGTGTGGCAGAAGGTGCAAATGCTACTGCATAAACCGGACCAGAGTGGCCAATCAGACGACGCGAGTTCGAGGGAGGCGCATCATCCACGTTGTCGTAGGTCGTTTGGATTTTCTTGCCATCCGTACTCCAAACACGAATATACGACTCCTGCATACCAGCTGCAACGAGCATATTATCGTCGGAGAAATCCAGGCAATTGATTCTGTCACTTCATTAATAAAAATTACAGTCAAAGAAATGGTCATTACCCACCCATCATAAGTGTTGTGGAATGTGAACATGCAAACACTGACTGCAGGACCAACACCTCCCGTCCGGCCCTCGATCCTGAACCGGTCACGATTCTCTTTCACCTTTTGAACTTCCAGAGCCACATCGCGAGCAGTCGAGGGAGGATATGGAATGTCGGCACGACTGGGCGCTTCATCGTCTTCTTCCTTTTTGATCATCTGGTCAAACTCCTGCACGAGACTGTTGTGGCCAGGTGCCGGAGGGTTCTTCATATCTTCGTCTGCTAATTCCCCTCGTACGTCGGTCTCAAGCGTAGATTCCATAGGAAGCTTGCCCAGTCGGAGCCGGGGTAATGTTCCAGCCATGGCCGGATTATCGCCGGTGTAGGCCGATCCGGGATGGTGACCGGGAATGCCTTCGTCTTCAGCGGGAAATGTCTGCCCTGCTCCAGCTTGACCTAGCATAGCAGCGAAGCTGAAACGATCGTCGGACGCACGCTCTTTGGTAATGATTGTGCAGTAACTGCTCAGAATAGCTGACATCACAGAGCCTCCCTCTTTCGACTTGTTTTCGAGAAACTGCATAAGGTTCGAGAATGCTGGGTTGCTGAGTACTAAGCGATACTTGTTGTTCCGATAGAGTTTGGCCGTAGAGTTATCCTGAACATGCTCAGGAAGGCTGATGGGCTCCAGTTTACGGACATCGTCTGTGTGCTCCGGGAGGAACAAATTCTTGTTTATATCAAAGAACTGTTTGGCCTCTTGTGGATAAAAGGATGTCACCATGTTGAGAAAGGAGTAGACAAAGAGCGGCCATAGAACGCGCCTAAGTTCCGGCTGTTCGACAATAAGCATTGCCCATGTTAATGAAGAGAAAATGGCTTACCTTGTACAGATCTAGATTGTCTTCTACCCAGCCTTTCAGTATGTCTAGATGCATGCCACATTAGTATATGAAAATGATATGTTGAGAAGGGATCTCCTTACCGAACCCCATTCTATACTTGGGACGTGCATCCTCGCCAAGAGGAGGCAAAGGACGGCCATCGATTTCTTGGTTAGCCGATTCCATGCGCAGCATGGCTTCAGTACGGCTGTATCCTTTCTTGGCCAGGTAATCAATGACCTAGATAACATTAGCAACACAGTAAAAAAAGGTCTGCACGTGATGCAAAAGCGAGCTAAGAAATGAACACAGAATCATGATAGACTTCGTCCTCAAATTACATGAAAAGCTGCAGCCATGGGTCTCAAGACGAACACCAAGAGTCTCGTTCAAACGAAACACAGCCAAAACAAGCCGCTTATCAACGACGAAAATCCCCACACATGCAAGGTACTCTACGCGAAACCCACGAAACTCATGCACAAATGTCTTCAATACTTACTATTTGATTCAGATTCTGCTGCGACATCGCACCACTCGGCGGCGGCGGTGGTGGGCCCGGAGTCGGTGCTCCAACTGGAGTGGTATTTCCCATGGGCTGCTGGGGAGGCATAGACATACCACCACCACCGGGGCCGATGCTTGCACTTCGAGGTGCAGGGCTCGGAGCCCCGCCTGGCGCAGACATGGCGCGACGCTAGATGTCCAGATACTGACGGTCGCGTCTTTTGGCTTCGCTGCGTTCTGACGAAAAGCGAAGACAAGATGCGAAAGTGACTTGATTTTGGATGGTTCTGTAAATCGGGAGGCTTGCGAAGTCACGTTTCTGATATTGAGCTAGGACTGTCTGGGGTTAGCGCTATGGGCTAGCTTAGATAATCGGATTTGTCGCTGGTTGGCATCACAACACGTGATAAGACATAGCTCAGGCTACTCTTACTTTGACCTTATCTTCAATTGGGTTGAACTGGAACAAATTTCCTGGTGAAATCCCTCAAATGTCAAAAGATGGCCGAGGAGAGGAGCTCTGCACAACCGGTTCAAGTATTTACTTCAGCTGACCGGATCCGCCAGTTGAACGAGGTGGACAAGGTAAGGAGGTAGCTCTGCGCGAGTCTCAAGAGAGACACAAACGAACCTTACGCGGCCGTCACAGAACGTCAATTAGCTACCAGACACTGATCGCTCGCAGGATGTTGCAAAACTAATTCACTCCGCCGGTCTCGCTGTCCAAGCCCTCACGAACGCCAGGACGTCCGACTCTCCGGATGACACTTCTCTCGAGTCGCATAAAGCGCGGTTTAAAGAGGCTACGTCGCAGTACTTCGCTCTGCTTTCCTCCATAGATGTCAGATTACGTCGCCAGGTATACGCCCTGGAGGAAGCTGCTATCTTAGCGCCAGAGTCGGCCTCGAGGACGGGTGATCTACCTGGCGCTGGCGGAGGGGCAACGGGTGTTTCGAACCCGTTGGATGTCAGCTGGCTGAATAGCAGGAAGGACACTGTAGGGAAAGATAAGGAAGCTGAGCTATGGGCTGCAGCGAGGCAGTTCGTCGAGCAACTTGGCGATTCCTCAGCTGCGAGCGTGAAGGTAGAAGGTGGACACAAGATGGAGGTCGATTGAGAGGCCCAAACATTTCGAGGCGCCGACTGCTCAGCCTAACTCAACGTGCTGACGTTTTTGGTCTTACAAGTCAAACTACGTCTTATTGGGGCCAATGAGTAGTGCTATATGATACCCACACATTCAATTGAAGCAGTTAACAGACCCGGCGTGCTTAAATGGAAGAGTTTATTCGTCGGGGCTGAAAAAGAAACGATACCTATTTACTTTCGTCTTTGCCAGCGATTATCGGTCTTGACACGTATGGCAGAAGCTGTGACGATGATGCGAAATGAGGAGTAAGAACAAGGCATGCTCATGGTAACACAACAAGCAAGCACAGACGCTAGTTCGCAGAACTTAGAGAGCAATGGCTGGCTGATGTACTACCGCTGCATAGACCTAATCATCTCCAGATGCGCAGCCTTCTCTTTATTGGTTTCCGAAAGCGGTGCAAGGCCTGTATTTCCTATCAGTATCCATTCCCTTAGCTCCACCATGACAAGAGAAGCGGCTTACTTCGAAGTTCACCCACCACATCCTTGGCCTTGCCAAAGTAGACCTCCTCTGCCATTGCAAGTCAGATTAGCATGTGACGTGTCAAGACAGAACAGCTACAGAAGTGACACATACGCAATAAGTTCCGCATCTTCAACTCCATATCCTCAACGAGCCTACCCACATTGGCGACATGGCTCGCATCCGACTCCACAGGGAGATCAACCTCCATCTGACGGGTCATATTGCCGCTGAGATCCATCTCGCCGAGGGCCTCATTCGCGTTCGCCAAGTGCAGAATCACCGTGCTCGTGAGCTTGTAATGAGACATGCGCGCCCTATCAGTCGCCTCGAAGACATGAATGCTGTCCCACTCTCCCGAGCTCTTCGCTCCGGGCGTAACACCTGTCCGCAATACCCATTAGCAAAGCCCACAACTCACCAGTCAGCACATAGCAAAAGCCCACCTTTCTTCAGAAGGATAACGCCCGCAAACCCATCGTCTAAATCCCAGAAGTAAACGCTGCCCACGCCTCCCTCATAGTACAGCTCCCGATAAACATCAAAGGCCTCGTTAGCCGCAACCTCGAGCTTCCTCACCCGCTCGCTGGGGACCGTGCCGTCCTCCAGCGGCGGATCGAACTCATTGCTCCAAGGCGAGCGGTAGCTGTCTCCGTCCCGGTTGTAATCGCAGAGCAGGTAATCCCGGTTCGTCTTCGGGCAGCGGCGGATCTCTAGAGGCTGGTCGACGGAGGAGAGGAGGTCTTCGGTCAGGTCCGGGACGATCGATGTGATGGCCTGCAGGTTCTGTTTCGTGTCGCGGGGGTTGAGGCGCCGAAGAAGATCGCTAGAGAGTGGGTTTTATGGTCAGCTTGAGCTGTTGTTGTCTCCGAGCGGGGTTACACTCCGCCAGCTGGGTTCTCGTTCTGAGGGCCCAAGATACGGAATATGAGGTATATAGTCGGTTGCCGAGAATTGAACACTTACAGCGCACTGTCAAATTGGATGTCCGCCATGGCTGTGAGGCTTGGGAAGAGTGTTGTATTTGTGTAGCTCTACGTGAAACCGGACCTCTTGACTTGGTTGACCCAGGTGCGTGCGTGGAGAAAGTGGGGGTGGCATTTAGGCTACCCCCTGAGCTTGAACGCCTCCGTGAACATACTATGGCCGACCCTTAGGTCAAAAAAAGAGATCCGAAACTCATCTATTGCTATCTAATTTTGGGTATCTAGAGACGATGATAATTTTCCAAAAGTCAAGATCAAGTATCCAATAGTGTCCACGCTGACCCAAAATGTCAATCCTCACTGTCATCATCGAGAACAAATCTATTCCGCTTGCGAGAAGCATGACGCTCTGCGCTGCGATTGAGAAGTGTCTCCACATCAGGGAATTCAAGATCTGATTCAAAACCATCTTGGCTTCTTTGTGATGAATAGGAGGGTCTTTCGGTATGAGGTTCCAGAAAAGACGACATCAACTTTTCAGGAGACAGCAGCTCGGGAGTGCAATCGTCGACATTGCCGCCTTCCCGCACATGTACACTGTTTGGCCTTGAATTGGCCGACTGCTTTTTCAACAAGTGAAGCTTGTTCCCAGGCGGGCGACTGTTCTGCGCTGGAGGAACCGATTCGCGAGAGAGGACCGAGTCCTCAATCTTCTTGTTTGACTCCAGAGCCAACACTCTCTTATATCGGCTTTCACAATCAGCACTCATCTTACTCATTTTTTGGAGAGTGCTAATCATGCGGCAGGTCAAGGAACCATGTCTAACAGCTTTTGTCGGTCTGGGAAGGGATTGCAGACGAGGATAGGCGTCAACACGTGGGTTCCGGATGAACTCTGGGCTAGTGCCACCTATATGACAATAGCGTCGCTCAAGATCCTGTTGCTGCCCAGGCGTAAGGAGAACATCTTCCAGGGCAGGAATCTCCACAGGCTCTGGAGTTGGTTTGCGAACGGCTCTCTTAGTTTCTGCTTTCTTCGTCACTTTCCCCGTGAGACTGGACGCCTTTGCAAAGCCAGTCTCGACGTCATCTGGCATATGGAACTTTTTCGGCGGCCTTTTTGGGGGCCGTGCTCTCCTTCTGGGCTCTGGTAAATCAGCCTGCGTGTTCTCCACCGGAATATCGATTTGCCTTTTGTCAGCCACAGGCCGAACTCCTGGGGGCAAGATGCGAGGGGATGTGTCGTCATGAAAGGCGAAACGAGTGCCGCTGGCTATCATCTGCTGCATTTTCTCATAATTGTCTTTGGCCTTAATATAAGACTCCTCTTCTTTGCCCTGCATCAGAAGCAACACAATATTACCAGCTCTCTTACGACCAGTACGTCCCATGCGCTGAAGCATGCGGATGGGTGACGCCGAAGAGTCGTAGCAAACAATAAGATCGACCTCGCCAATATCAAGGCCTTCTTCACCAATTGAGGTCGCCACGATAGTGTTATATGTGCCTTTCTTGAACTTTTGCACAATGCTCAACTGTGTCTTTTGGTCCATTCCCTCGGATCCTTTCGCACTGCTCTGCCCTACAAACACGTGGGGTCGAATCAGAGGCTCGTACCGCTTCAGAACTCGGACAACCTCCTCGGCGCTGTCTCGAAAATGTACAAATATCATAATTCGTGTTGCTGACTGACTCTGGTCTCCATGGGCTGCCGTTCCTTCCCCGCGATCCATGAAGTGATTGAGTACGACCTGTTTGAGGTATTCCAATTTCGGATGGCCGATGAATTCTGGGTTCTTAGTCCAAGGCCGGAGATGGTTCATGAGTTTCTTGAAGCTTTCATCCTGCACAATCTGGCGTTGATACTTGCCCCCTTTTTGGCCGTCAGTGTTAGACTGAAAGTGCAAAAGGTGCCGATAGAACGGCGTGATACCGTGATACTTTAGGAGATCAATAGCATGGGCCAGACTCGCGAGGACGGTGAAAATCGCGTTGACCTTGCCCTTCAGCCCAAGGTTCGCATTCCTCCCTGCATCCGAACCCATCCATTGCTGACGGGCCTTGGTGAGACCGAACGCGGTGAGAGCCATCGGATCCCTTCCCCAGTAGGCGTTAAGGTTACGAAGTTGGTCGACAAGCGGCTGCAGAGTCCTTGTGAAAAGCTCCATGCACAGCACCATTTCATCGGAATTCTGGAACGTTTGCACCTCAGTGTCCCGAGCATGTACATACTCCCGAATGTCGAGAGACTGCTCGGTGCGAATCTCCACTTTGGCAATACCCAGGCCATCAATGACGGCTTGCACTGATTCCACTGTAGAACCTGGAGTTGCAGTGAGGGCGAGGACCCGGAAGCTCTTGTTATACCGCTTGAGGAACTTGACCACTTCCACGTATGCATAGCCCCCAGTGGCACGATGAGCCTCGTCAACAACGAGCAGGACGACACGTTTGGGGTCGGCTATTCCTGACTTGAGATCATTGACGAGGGTTTGAGGGGTCATGAAGAAAACACGTTTGGTTTTCCATTCCTCCGCGCGAATGCCTGGCGCGGCTTCACCTGTCAGCATTGTCGTCTGTGATCGCGGGATGCCGACCACCTGGAAGCAAGCAGAGATCTGCTGAGCTACCAGGGGCTTCGTCGGTGCTACGAAGATGATTTGAGCACTCTTTGTCCATCGATACCAATTGAGCATAATGGTCGCTGCGATGAACGTCTTTCCCAGACCAGTAGGAAGGGCAACCAGCAGATTATGGAAAAGACCTCGCTGTGCGATATTAAATTGGTAGTCTCTCGTCTTCCCCAAATTGGTGGGGTAGACCCACGTGTCCATAGCCTCTTGATTAAGTTTGTGATGAGTAGGAGGTTCATTTTTCTCCGGTGGCAAGAAGATTTGCTCCCCTCTCTGCGGGGGGATGTCCGAGTTTCGCGCAGCCATGTCGAATAACGTGGATTGCCGTAGGCCCAACGGGCGATTGGTGCTGAATTGGGACTGAAGGGGTGGCCTACGTGCTGCTTGAGATGTCGTCCTGGGAGGCGACAAGGATAGGTCCGAATCGAAGGCATCATCTGGTATATCATCGAGATCGAATGGCACATCTGCTGCAGGCTCTTTCAGTGCTGCGGAAGGCGCGACAGCAGTCTGTGCTGCCGAAGACCGGGGTGCCGTAGAGTGGATATTTCCCCCGTTCTCTTCCTCGAATGAGCGCAGTGATGCTGCAATAGCAGCCTCCATTTCGTTATCTTCGTCATAATAGTGATCCGGTTGATGACTCGAATCAACTGTGGTTGTTGTAGGCTCGGGCGCAAGAGGTTCGGGGCCAGGCTTCTTCCATCGAGGGCCACGAATCATCTCCGGGGGCGAAGGCGGCTGCGTCAATTGTGTGACGAATATATTCTCCTGGAAGTTGTTGCGCTTTGGTACAAATACCTTGTACTTGGATGTCCTCTCGACATCCTCAAATTGAACGCCGTTGACAGACCTTCGGTCGGGGGATTGGAATTCGTCCTCCCCATCGCCTCGATCTATGGAAATATCGGATTCTAAGTCAAACAGATATCAGATCCAGATCGTAAGCAAATTGTAGGTCGCGGTAGCTTGCCTGCATCATCAAAAACGCCAGCGTCTAAGCGCCGGCGCTTTGCTGGACGGTTGTTCGTCTGGGCTGATTCAGCTGCATCGGGTGTCCCAGGGACGATAACGTCGTCAATCTCATCGTCAAAATAATCATCAGAGTCGTTACCAGAATCGGACATGTCGCGACTCGCTTGACCTTAACCAAATAGCTCCTCGTCGATTCTCAGGCTATTGTTTGGTGACGAAGCGACTACGCGACGCGGTGTCGCGACATCACGTGAGGATAATTGCCAGTACACTTGGGTGGTTTGGTTTGTCCTGTTTACACTTTCCCTCATCGTACTAGTCTACAGCGCACGTCCTTCGCTTCAGGGCTGTTAGCGTGGTGGAGGGAGGAGTCATGGAAACCAATTTAGCAGCTCCACTTAAGGCTTTCGTTGATGTTTGACGAGGAAGATTCGAGATACCTTATCCAAGGCAACAGTCGCCCTATTCATACCAAGTTTTATGGACCTCAATTGTCAGTGTGGAAACCGAGGGTACTGAGGGAGCAGTGTCCAGGATCAACAAAGACAGACCCCTTATTTGCCTCACAATTTCCATTCCGGTCAGAGATCACAGGCACAGAAGTCAAAATTGAAACCTGGTCCGAGTCAAATGACTCGGGGCTAGAGGCAGACGGGGCCACACTAAAGGAATCTGGTTATTTTAGGCACTCTTTTTCTTGATTCGACCCCAGATTCCACATCCACAATCTCGTCATGTCTTTGATCTTCTGTTTTGCTAATAATAATCAGCAAGGGTGGGTTTTCACTTTTTCGGCTGAAGTTGATGACATAACGGGTGATCGAGGGATTCGCAAAACGATGGTTACACTGTGTGAGCATCTCATTTATTATTTAGTCGAGTATCATTATTATGGCTATCACCAGGCAACTTTGGTCTACTCAGTGTCACCATATCAGCCAAACAAGGTGGCTTGCTTCAAAAATAGCAGTTGGCGACGATGATCAGATCCTCCTTGGATCATTATAATTATGGGTTTACTGTTGTACTCTGTATCTGGTAAAGACAAGCCATTGGCCGATGCTACTGGAAGACTCCAGACTAAAAGACGACAACCTGATTTTCTCCAATTCTTCAACAGCTTTGTCCAACCACAATCGTCCACAGAGCTAAGCTAGCTGAGGAAATACTGCATAAAGCCTTAGTGACGCTGTCAGTGGATGGTTAAAGCACTCGGGATAGTCCTAAAACTCGGGGGAAAAAAAAAGAAAATAGTAACTTACAGACAGGAAACACTGAAACCCTACTAATGAGAAGGCGTAACGACAAGAAACCTGGGCGGATCACCAAGTGACAAGACTTGGAATTAGACTAGTCAGTCCAATATCCACAGGTCACAGAGAACCCTTCCCAGCAAGGTTTCATGGCCTGAGGGTATCACTTACTGTTATTGGTCTTACTTTATTACTCCTCTTTTCCCCCAACTTCTGTTTTCCCTCTTCTTCTTCCTCCTCCTCATCAACAAACACCAGTCTCTCGTTTGTACCATCAGTCTTCTTTTTCTTCTTCTTGCACTGAGATCTCAAGTCTGTCGCTTCTGAATCTCTACAGTCAGTCTAAGTCAAAATGAAGTTCAACAACATCATCGCCGTCTCCTCGCTCTTGGTCCTGGCTACTGCCCAGTCCACCACTAGTAGCGCGGCCTCCACCACCACCAGCCAGTCGCCCGAGGTCTCCTGCGCCGCCAAATGTGTGTATTTATAGCTTTTTCTTGAATTATCTCATCACATAAAGCTAACGTCACAATTGCATTCAGGCGCTGCTACTGATATTTGCTGCGTTGCTGGATGCTTCAAGGTCCCTTGCCCTAGCGACCAGCAGGCTAACGACACCGTCAGCTGTGTTGCTGCGTGCCCTCAGGGCTCTGGTACTCCTAGCGACACCGACAAGTATGCCGCGTGCCAGAGCAGCTGCTACAGCAGCCACTTCTTCCCCGCGACCATGACCAATGCTGGTTCCACCGGCACTGGTGCCAGCGCCAACACCGCGACCACCACCGGCACTGGTTCCAGCAGCTCTCAGACTGGCTCTTCTGGTAAGTTGCTTTGGTTCTATTCGGTCTGAAATGGCCCAAGGAAGTCAAAGCTAATTGGACAATCTACAGGCTCCCACGCCTCGGCCTCTGGATCCGGCACTGCTACCAGCAGCGGCGCTAGCTCCAGCTCGACTCACAACGCTGCTGCTGTTAACCAGCTGCAGCTCGGTGTCTCTGCCGCCGGTCTCCTTGGCTTCGTTCTTGCTGCCTGGGCTCTGTAAACGATGACCTGTTCTTTACAGACGCGGCTCATGGCTACGACTGGGTCCCAGATGGTAACGAATATCGAGACGGGAGTTAATAGGGTTACGGGACATGGGTCGATTGATTTTATTCCTCTTCATTCTCACTGAAGTACTAATAAGGATGCCACCTAATACTGTGCCATAATTGCCTTTCATGTGTAGTACTTTCAAAATATTTGAGATACCAATGCGAAATGCTTAATCATGAGTCTGGCTCACGGGCTGTCTACTTCGAATCTCAGTATGAACGTTGACATTCACACGTGCACGGTTCCTAGAAAACCAAGGCAATTGTCAGGGACGTTCTATTCAGCGCGGTCTGTCCAAGCGACCCATCATTCCGTGGGCCACCATCTCATCTAGACACTATATGCTCCAAAATGTCTTTTGCGGAATATTGTCATAATCACTTTGCCGCTCAAAAACCATTCGAGATGTCTCTTGCCCTTCACCCTGATTTGCCAAATCCCGTCCCTTGGAATCGAGGCTCTAAATCTTAACAGTATGTGAGTTTCAGAGTACATGCCTGCAATGTAATCAAGTACATATCAGTGGTGAATAACGAGTGATCTAGTCCGTAGACCGTGGAGATCTGTAGGAAGATCCACACCTAACCGATAAGGCTGATAAGGCGCGTGTCACATCCCCGCTTAAACGCGTCAATCACATCACATATACAAAACGGACAACTGCATCTTCTCAACTATTCACAGCCTGACGCCGCCTCAATCACATAATTTCCAGCAGAGAAAACTATATCTTCCTCTCCTACACTACACCCAGCACACAAAAGTGGGAAACGAAAAAATGGCGCCCCAAAAAGATTTCCACCACCTCTACACCTCGATGGCCGACTTCGTCACCTCCTGCATGTCCGCCCACGATCCCTCCCACAACCCCGCCCACGTCCACCGCGTCGTCACACTGGCCCGCACAATCCTCGAGAAGGAACAGCTCGCACACCCCGAAATCACCTACGACGCTGACCTCGTCAAACTCGCCGCCTTGCTCCACGATATTGGGGACAGGAAGTATTTGACGCAGGTTGCTGCGGCGACATCTGCGGCGGGGGAGCGGCACCAGCAGCAGGCGGCGGTTGATCCGGGCAGGATGGTGGAGCAGGCGCTGCTGGCGCATGGGGCGGACGCGGCGCTCGCGGCGAGGGTGCAGACCATCGTGACGCATGTGTCGTACTCGAAGGAGGTTAAAGATCCTGCGGCGGTGCGGAGATTGATCGACGAGGAGGGGTATGTGGAGTTGGCGGTGGTGCAGGATGCGGACCGGTTAGATGCGCTGGGAGCGGTGGGGATCGGGCGGTGTTTTACGTTTCTGGGGGCGCAGGGGAAGAAGTATCTTGGTCCTGGGGAGCCGTGGGATATGAATAATGCTATAGCTCACTTTCAGGACAAGCTGGTGCGGTTGGAGGGGATGATGAAGACGCAGACGGGGAGGGAAATGGCTCGCGTGCGGACACAGCGGTTGGTCGAGTTCCGCAAGTGGTGGGAAGAGGAGATGGAGGAGGCAACCCATATTCCTTGAGAATGGACATTGCAAGTTAGACGATGGTCGCAGCTTGCCTATATACATATTTTCTCAAGGCTCTCGGCAAGTGCATAATAGATCAAGCAATTCATTCCATAGATCTCATTCTATCTATCAAATCACAATAGAGAGGTACAATATTTGGGTATTTAGTATGTAGTTGCAAGAGTATCAGGCACACGGCAAACATCCAGAACGAAAGGGAGAGACTTGGAAACCCAAGAAAAGTATCCTGGAGCCAGAAGAAGCAATCAAAAACAAGACCAACCGTGTAATAGACTCCAACAACGACCTCGAAACTGCCAGATTATCTCATGCTGCTCTGCATGTATGGATTTCTATCATTTGGCATGAGCAGGGTATCGAGAACAAACGCCAAAATCAGAACAAAGTCTAGAACTATGTCAAACTGCTTGGATGCGGAAGGGAAATAAGGTACTTAAAATAGCATAGTAAGGTCTGATGTTGAATTTCAGACCCGGTCCCGAGCAAAATCCAGCACCTCACAGTCGTCTTCGAAGAAGCCGTCGTCGACACCAGCGCCAGGAGCAGCGGAGACTGCCACGGAATGTCTCTTCTTCCTGCGAGTGGTGATAACAACCTCTTCAACGTTGCTGGTGCTGTTGCCCAGGCTGATGAGGTTCTCCATTTCTCCTCCGAAGCCGTGGTGTTGTTCGTGCACGATATCATCATCATCCCCGGTGCCGCCACCGGCGCTGAATGGCCGCACGTGAAGTTTGGTCAGCGAGATGCTGTCGCCAAAGATCCACTGGCCACCCGGGCCACACGTCAACGGATCACATACTTCATTTTCATTCGAGAAAACGAAGAGATTGACTCTGTGATCGGTGTGGAAGGGCTGGTAAGGTGCGTTCGTCTCGATCTCGGCCTGGGAGAGGGGCTGGCACTTAATCTTTGGGGTAGCGTGGGGCCGTAAGGTAGAAGACGGCAGGGTCAAGATGGCAGAGACAGTGTGTTCATGAGCGAATGTCCCAATCAGCAGTGGACCGCATGGAGTCTGAAGGTTCGCGGGCAACTTGTACTCGATTTCCTTGTTCCCAATAACCGACTGCAGCTGGCGATTCTTGTGAGAAGAAATAGATCGTTTGACCCGGTACAGCCGGAAGAATCCATTGTCTATCACGCCCAGGAAAGGCTGCCCTTTGTTCGAGATCCAAACGACACGAGACGCGGCTGGGTCACGGGCAAGACCGGAGAGGTGCAGTCGATTTTCGCCAGCGTGCCGGAGAGTATTGACTGTACCAGTCGCTGCACCCATCGATTTGCTAAGGCCAGCAGCAACCGCCCTCCCACTTCGGACTCCAGCTGCGGAGGGAATTGCGAACGCACCGACTGCAGGAAATGCAGAGCCGGCGGACGGAGTGCGGCCTTTGACAGCAGCCAGAATAGGCTGCGTTTTTCCACCAACGAGTTTAAAAGCGGCGGATAGCGGATTTGTCACAGCCGCTCTCTCAGTCGCTTCGTCCGTGGGGGGATTGTTGGCTTGGGACTTGTGGGGTTGAGGACGAGCTCGCCGGAACGGAGGCCACTGGAAAGCACTTCGAGGAAGGTCAAAAACGTGCACTGTACCCTTGCGGGTTATCACTGCCAGACGATCCCCGGATGGAGGGGACCAGATCACATCGACAATAGAAGACGTAGTAAGACGTGCGAACCGCGCAACTTGTCGCACGTTGGCTGATGGAGTGGTGGAGTCCTCGGAGAGAACGACCCCTGCCCGACAATGCCTGGCTTGCATCAAGTCCCAAACGTACTGGACATCCCCCTTCTTGCTCGCTGTGAGTAGCATCAAGCCATTAGGAGAGAATGACAAGAAGCTACATCCATTGGGGACTTGGAAGGTGGCGATAGGGTTGAGCATAGCATTCCTTGTCTCGCCGCCATCATCGAATCGTCTCAAATCCAGTATCGAGACAAAATCGGGTTCTGCAGGCGACGTCATCTGCGTTTCCTGGGCGTGGGTCGGAGGGAAGAGACTGTATCCTTGGTGTGGTAAGTCCATAAAATTTGGAGATCGCCGCGAGGACGCGTTCTGAGACTGGTCTTTATTCCAGTAATTGTTCCAAGCTTGAAGTCCCTGGTCACCCATCCAGCGGGCACCACGCACCAGCTCTTGTGTGACACCCCTTGCTACTTTGTCAAAAAGACTTTCGCCCTCACCAACGTCCGTTGCGGAGGTGACTGGTGGCTTGGCTGGAGGACTACGCGTCTCGAGCCCAAAGGCTTTGCCCTGGATAAGCGAGGCAGGCACCGTTCCACGAATAGAGGCTCTATAAGTTGAGGACGGCGGCACTATGGCTAGCCATCGTCCTCTAAGCGCCAGCACAGGGTAATCTGAAACGGCTGAACCATGTGGGGAGTCGTTTCGAGATGCATCCGGATCAGTTGAACTGGATGATGTTGAGTATCGCCGAGCTTCTCGTGCCTGTACACTTGTCCAGGTTTTACCCAAGCACTGGTATGCACATGACGGTGAGAAAGGATTTATGCCGTATACATACACTTCCCCGCTGACGCCGGATGCCAACACAATATGGTTCCCGCTGACGAGTAGCTTTAGATTCCCAGTAGGAGATGGGGCAAGAGCAAGCAATCCGGGAATGTTCTCAAAACACGGAGTAGGTTTCGTGGTGAACAGTGTTGCGATCTGCTCTCCGCTCCGGAGAGAGTAAATCTCGACTCTGGTTTGGTACAGTTTCGGCTCATCCTTGCTGACGCGTTTTTCACCCGGTGGAAGCCTTCCAGTCTGACTAGGTGGTGTCTCATTTGTTTCCGAAGCTGCAGAAGATGTCCGGCCTTCGTCTTCGTTTGAGGCACAGGGTCCGTGTATTATGACGGCGACATGCGGTCTAGACGAAATGAAGGGATCGTTCGATGAGGTAGAGGCTAAGATCTTTGCCTCTATCACCCGGCCCCTGAGCCCACTGAGCTTTCCCACTAAACGCGTTTTGCGGTCTTCGATTGCGAGAACGTCCAAGGCCCCATCAGTGCCAACAAGCATTACGGTACCGCCCATCTTGGAGGACTTGAATGCTGGACCGGACAAAGTGTCAAAGCCACAAAATGAGTAACCTTCATCTCCAGCTACACGGTTTGAACCAGTAAATGGAGGGAGATCAATATCTGGAGCACCGTAGAAGTGAGGCTGCGGCAGATGAGGCAGGGGAATACGACCATCGTACGGGCCACTCAGAGAATGGCTCTTCTGCCTGTCTACAGATTGCTGCCTGGACAAATTGCTGCTCAGGTATCCATTACCGTAGCTCAAGGGTCTCCTTCGAGGAGGAGGAGAGGTTGACGAGGGCTGACTGAAACCACCTTTATCTAGGTGCGTAGGGAAGCTGAGGGGAGACCCGCCTGCGAGCTCCCCGCTGATGCCGTCATTTGGAGGACTTTTTCCATATGGAATTGATTTTGCCCATGTTCCCGTACGGATGGCAAGATCATTCTCCGTCGTTTCCGTAAGAGACCCAAAGGCGTCTGGAACGGCTGAGGCAACCGGATTACTAGGGGGCGCTGACGGAGTATCTGAATAAGACGCCAACTCAGCTAGCACAGGTGGAGAACTGTCAATCCTGTTGCATCGAGGACAAGAGTTTGTCAGTATGTGACGTTTATAGTCTGAAGAGTAGTGATTTCCATGCATACAGGTCATCAGGCGGAGACTTAGCTACCGCTTTGGCCCCTTTACCTCCTTTGCCGTTTTTACCCTTTTTCTTCGTTTTTCCAATATTGTCATTGTTTTCGGGACTTGGCCGAGGGAAGTCTGAAGGAAGGGTAATCAGATCGCCTGAAGCCCGGCCCTGCTGGCGAAATAAGTCGTCCGAGGGTGCCGGGGGCATTCAACTGGAAGGAGTGCCTCAAGGAGGCAACAGAGAATCTCACTGAGACCGCCCTCAAGACCTCTGATAAGGTCTGAGAACGGGTGTTCAAACAATGATGTTGACTGGCAAAAACGATCGATGAGCTGGGAACCTATCTAGAGACTGCGTGGAATCTTGTGTACAGAACGCTTGTCAGCGTGAGTCATCGCAAGAAGCAGTTGCGGGCTCTCATTGAGACATACTATCGTTTGTTGATTGAAGTGACAAAGATCTGAAGAGGATGGATAAAATAAGTTATTGCACTCTCCCTGCTCGAGTGCGGAGCTGTCGCGAGAACCAGCGTACCTGGGGATTTGTACCCTTGGATACGCCTTGTAGATGCGGGATTCAATATGACTCGGATGCCAGACTTTCTTCTGTCGTCCAAGCCTCCAACTCAATAATTATTTCCAGTAACTCGGAACTACAGTCTCGTATGGCCGTTCCAAAACCCAGGACTCAAGAAAAGGTATCAGATAGTTGTTTTGAAGAGATGTGTAGAGCAGGTAAATGGTTCAAGAGAGGGGGAGGGGGAACCTATGCCGGTCAGGAGCATAGGTAGATGACATCTCTCCATGGTAGGCTGACTGCTCATACGTAATTAAACCAAAGTTTACCCCGTTATCTGCCTCAGCTAGCAGGTATCAGTCAATAGTTCCAGGGCTGGTTTCTCCTTATCAGTACGAAGGTACCTATCTGCTTGCCCCCTACTTTCCGCTCTGTATCTCCGTTGGCACCCCTCAAAAACCAGGTCTCATCTACAGTATATATGTCCAAGTTGTTGAAGTTATAAGGTATTCAGACAGGGCCTATACTTCAAAGTTACAGAATCCCTGACGGAATTTCTTAACAGCTGATCTTGGAGTATAAATGCCTGTGATTATATATCTGGCACGAGGTACCGTATCTTTGCTTGTAACGATGTTACAAACAACCACCTCCATCCCGCATGAGGGGTAAGACAAACATTGCAAACAAAGCGCGTCCGAACACGGGGTCAGCATGCCACACGTGATTTGCCTGAGGGCTGCTGCAGGTCATCATCATCAGCATCATCAACTTGACGATGGAACTTGGCTCAAACATTCCACGTATCCACGGTTGCCCCCGGAG